TATAAGTGTTAAATCTCCCAACTAAAAAGAGGGAAGGCATTTCCCATTTGCAGGGAATCCAAAATGTGTAAGATGCAGAGAGATAACTGGTATCTGAGCCGCTGGTCAATACAGTGTCTGAAGACAATGACCACACTGTTCTCAAAAGATACCAAAAATGAGCTCTGTGTTATATATTCAGTAAATTAGTTAGAACAATTCGCTGTCCAGCACTGCACCAAACAGAGGAGGCATCACTGAGCTTGTCTTCACCCTCAAGGAGCTTGTAATCTAGTGCAGCGTTTCCCGAAATGTGAACAACAGGTGCACCATGATTTTTCAGCTGTGCACAGACACAGCATTGAATAACATCAGATTGCATCGTGGGAATATTCCCTTTCCTATTCCCAGTTAGTCCTCTTGGTTACATAAAAGAAAGTCACAATTTGCTACTAAGATGGCTTTACCGGTCTTTCAGCACTGACTAATCTGTGTTTAACAAAGAGAATGCAAGCCTCAGGTTAAGTAAATTTGGTAGTCCAGAGAACCTAGAGAGAATTTAGTAACTCTTTTTTTCATTTTCATCTTATTTGTATGGTTCTCTTCTATGTAAAGCAACTGATACTGGTTTTCCTCGTGAAGTTGTAAATACATACATATGCATGTATCATATTAATATATAATAATTGGTTAAGTAATAAAATATATAATCATATATATAAGTTAAAGAAGTCAGTATAAGCTAAAATATTGAGTAAATACCAATGCAGGTGCAGGGGACATAGAGATGGCTACCGAAAAAGTACTCAGTGACTGAATCTTTTCTTTACAGTTTTTACTGAAATTGTTGCAATATTGCTTCTGTTTTATGTTTTGGATTTTTGGCCGTGAGGCATGTGGGATCTCAGCCCCTGAACCAGGGATGGAACCCACACCCTCTACATTGGAAGGTGAAGTCTTAACCACTGGACCTCCAGGGAAGTCCTGTAATGATTGAACTTTAAGAAATGCTGGTCAAATGATCTTTATGATAGTGATGCTCGGCTCAAAAAAAAAAAAATCCGTTGGAATATAGCAGCTCACCTAAGTATGCCTGCTTTTGCATACTTGTATCCATTTCTTTGCTCATATGCTTGGATGACCCGTTAGGTCAAGAAGGAAAGGGCAGTTGTGTAACTTTCTTTGCTTTCCTCACTCGGGAGAATGATGTCAACAGAAAGGAGATATGGTTAAGAGAACGGGCTTTGGAACAAGTGCATCAGTTAGCTATTGCTCCTGAGAAGCCACCCATAAATTTAGTGGCTCACAACCACTCCAGTGTATTATTTCTTTTTAAAATTTATTTTTAAAAAGCTGAAGTATAGTGGACTTACAATGTTATGTTAATTTCTGCTGTACACCAAAGTGAGTCAGTTATATATATATATAGTGCACTATATCTTTGTAAGAGATTAATTAATTTTTGGTTATGCTGCGTCTTCATTGCTTCACTTGGGCTCTCTCTAGTTGCAGTGAGTGGGGGCTACTCTTCGTTGCAGTGCACAGGTTTCCCATTGCAGTGGCTTTTCTTGTTTCGGAGCCCAGGCTCTAGGCGCATGGGCTTCAGTAGTTGCGGCTCACAGGCTCAGCAGTTGCGGCTCGTGGGCTCTAGGGTGAGGGAGTTGTGGTGCATGGGCTTTAGTTGCTCTGTTTCCCAGCATGTGAATCTTCCCAGACCAGGGATCGAACCCATTTCCCCCGTGTTGGCAGACAGACTCTCATTCACTGTACCGCTAGGGAAGTCCCAGCGGTATAATAAACCATTATTCTAATGATTGCATGGTTCGAGTGGGTGGTTCCTCCGCTGCTCTTTAGCACTTCAGCTCTATGGCACTGCATTTAGCTGTTGTCTGGATGGGCTGGAAGCCAAAACGGCCCCACATCCACAGATGTGGCTCTGGTGGGGATGGCTAGAAGACTAGGGCTTCACTCTCTACATGCCCCTCATCATTTAGTGACCCAGACCAAGGTTTTTATAAGGCATTTGACTTCAAAGGGCAAAAAGGAAAGCTGCCGGGCTGCTGAGCCTTGACCTGGAAGTCACACAGTGTCACTTTCACCACATCATATTGGTCAAAATAAGCCATCGGCCAGTGCGAGTTCTTTATGGGAAAAGCGGAAAAGTCACATTTCGGAGGAACATGCAGGGTGGTGTCATTGGGAATGGCAGAGTAAAGATCTTTGAACTTTCCCCCAGAGAACTTTTTTAAAAAAATTATTTATTTATTTTATTCTGTTTTGGTTGTGCTGGGTTTTTGTTGCTGCATAGGTTTTCTCTAGTTGCAGTCAGCAGGGTCTCCTCTTCATTGCACTGCATGGGTTTATCATTGTGGTGGCTTCTCTTGTTGCAGAGCATGGGCCCTAGGGCACGTGGGCTTCAGTAGTTGCAGCTTGCTGGCTTTAGAGCATCGGCTCCGTAGTTGCCGCACATGGGGTTTGTTGCTCCCCAGCACGTGGAACATTTTCAGGCCCGGGATCAAACCTGTGTCCCCTGCATTGGCAGGTTCTTATCTACTGTACCACCAGGGAACCCCTGTGTGTGTGTCCTAAGTCACTTGAGTCGTGTCTGACCCTGTGTGACCCTATGGACTGTAGCCCGCCAGGTTCCTCTGTCCATGGGATTCTCCAGGCAAGGGTACTGGAGTGGTTGCCATTCCCTTCTCCAGAGGATCTTCCCAACCCAGGGACTGAACCCGTGTCTCTCATGTCTCCTGCACTGGTGGGCAGATTCTTTACCAGGGAAGCCCCCAGGGAGATTTAATTCAAGAAAAACAACTGAATCTCAACAAGATCAGGAAGCTGTGTGGTGTCTTACCTGGCTCTGTTCCCATCCGCGTCTCTTCAGCTCTGCAGTAGTCTTGAAGACGAGTAGGTTAGAACAGGATTGGATCTTGTTCAAAGCCCCATTCTCATATTATTGCCAGTATTTTACCCTAGAAAGCACCCTTGTACAACTTGTCTTTATTTGAGCCAAATCAATGATCACCCAGTGTGAGCAGCTTTTTTATCTAGAGGTGTTAGTTAAAAAATCATCAATTTGACATTGCAGCTGCCTGAGGTTCATGGGGTCGCAAAGAGTCGGACACAACTGAGTGACTGAAATGAACTGAACTGAACTGAACTGAGCTAATCAAGGAATTAAAATGGCACATTAGGTAGTATCTATTTAACGCAAATAGTAATAGTCCCTAAGCTGAACTACAGATTAAACTACAGATTCAATCCTTATCATAATTCTATCTGCATACCACCCCCCCTTGTTTTGCAGAAATTGGTAAGGCAATCCTAAAATTCAGATGGAAACACCAGGGACCCAGAATAGCTGAAACAATCTTTTTTTTTTTTTAAACAATCTTGGAAAGGAAGAAAAAAGCTGGAGGACTGACTTAGGACTTCTCTACTTCAAAACACTACCAAGCTACTACATTCAAGGGAGTGTGATAGTGACAGATCAGTGGCATAGAGTCAGATAAAAACCAGAGATGAGAAACTCAATGGGAGGTACCACAGTCCCCTCACAAACAGTCCCTCTCTCTCTTTCTCCCCCGATCATCTCTCTCTATCTTTGTCTCTATCTGGTTCTGTCCTCCCTTGAGCTGCCTTTTTCTGCATCTTCTTCATTCTCCTCTCAGAGCGGCAGACATGAATGTGCTGCTCACCCCGCTCCCCATCCCCTTGCTACACACACACTGCCCTGGGTTACGTGTCCCCCAGCCTAAGGGACCAGCAAAGATGATTTCCCAGGTCCAGATTCCCAGGAGAGAGAATGTAATTGGCCCAACTGGGGCCAGGTGCCCAGGTTTGTCTTATGTAATCAATGAAGTCCAGGAATTAGGGTCCTCAAGAATAGTTCTACCCACTTAGAGTTCTATTAGAAGGGCTCTCTACTTTGCTAAGTTAGAAGTGGGGCTGAGGAACAACATAGGCTTCCTGATTCTCATCCTGGAGCACTTTCTACAACACCTGTTATCTTCCCTAACCCCTAGGGAGGCTGCATACAGTTGTTCAAGTTGTGCACTGCACAACCCTAGTGGGGGGCACAATTTACATTTTAGGCATCCTAGATATGCGTATTTGTTATACCAGTTTCCTAAAGATGAAAGTTAAAGAGTCTTGGAAGAGAGGTTTTTTCTAATTTGAAAAAAGTTGCTAGATAAACTAGGGTTGGCCCCACTTTCTCCTTTTGTCTTGGTCCCTTTGGAGTATGGGAAGAAGGGGAGTGGGAAGAAGCCACCCCAGACCTTGGCTCCAGGATCTGACCTGTCCGTCTCCCCACAGGTGGGTGCATCCTTGTTTGCCAGCAATGTTGGAAGTGGACATTTCGTTGGCCTGGCAGGGTCAGGTGCCGCTGCGGGTCTTTCCGTAACCGCTTACGAGCTTAATGTAAGTGTGTTTCCAGGGCAATGTCAGTTCAAGATTACCAAACAGGTGGATCCGGGGGAGGGGGGAGGCAGTTTTGTGCATGCTCTGCTCTTCTAAATATAGAGTGGTGCTTTATGAAGAAACAAGCAGGAGTCATCAAGGGCACCCCTGATTAGCAAAAGTCAATTTGGTCTGCAAGTCATATTGCAGGCGTCCCCATGTTCGCTTGATGGGAGTCCGTAAGGCAAATATGTGTGTGAAGAAGGCACAGCGTCTCTTCTGTGCAGATGCAGAAGATAGAAGGTTCTGTGGGACTGGGGGGTGTTTCTGTGTATCAGATATCAATTGGCCATCACAAAACTTATGTGGTTCCGTGGTTCTTGATCTTTTTGCCACCCCGCAGATACTCAGGAGATAGGACACGCTCTTTGTGTAGCAGGCTCATTCAGGATATGATTTTTACTGATGGGAGGGGATGTACTTATTAATAGTGATCTTCATCTTCATAAAAACTCATTTTTTTTTAGCGCTTACCCTGTGCCATAGACTTAAGTACACTACATACATCATCATATTATGGGATTCAATTATAGATTAGCACCAAACTGTCTGGATTCAAATCTGGGCTCTAAAATTTACAAGCTGTGTGACCTTGGGCAAATTACTTGACCTCTCTGAGGCTCATGTATAAAGCAGAAAATAATGGTACCTTCCATATTGGGTCATTGTGAGGATTAAATGACTTCATGCTTGTAAGGCGTGCACAGGAATGTCTGGAATATAATGAGTGCTCAGTAAACATCATCTTACTGATTCCCTTGCAACAATCCAGTGGCGGCACTGTTACTGTCATTGCACAGGTGAGAAAAATGAGTCTCAGAGACCTGTGTAAACTCTCCCAGCATCACCAGCTGTTCATCAGCATGGCCTGCCTGACCTCACAGCTTTGCTTTAACCCCTGCCCAAGGAGGGGAGGGAACACAAGGGGACGAAGCGGGATATGCAAGGTTTAGGAGGCATAGCCCTGGGAGCCACTCTGCCCCACTTCATCCCCATGTTCTGTTTAAATCTAAGGATATGATGGCCCGGGGAGGGTGAGTTAATCAGCAAGTAAGAGATGGAACCAGGAGCAGACCAGACCCGGTTCCATCCAGACATAAGGAAATCCAAACTGTCACCACAATGCGGGCAGGAGCTGAGTCCTGATTCTGTTTTCTCCGGCAGGGCTTATTCTTCGTGCTGATGTTGTCCTGGATCTTCCTTCCGATCTACATCACTGGTCAGGTGAGTCTGAGGGAGTCCAGGTGCTATGGAATGGGAAGATCCTTAGGGAGCGTCAGCCCTGCATCCATCCCTTCCCTCTCAGCAGCGTCCCTCCACCCTGCCAGTGGACATCCGTTACACAGTCCCTGAGAGGTCGCAGCATCAGTGACGGGTGACTAATGGATTCATTAGGACTATTAGGAACACTGTCCTCAGCAGTTCCCACCTAGTAATGATGAGACATTTTGAGTAATGACATCAAAGATACATATGGGGTATTCAGAAGCTGGAAGTGCTGTGGGCTCAAAAAAAATTTTTTTTGAATGTCAAAACACAAAATCACAGTCTTTTCTGAATGTGTAAGCCATAACAGATTACTGCTTTCTTTTTTTTTCTCCCCAATTATTTTTACTAGTTGGAAGCTAATTACTTTACAATATTGTAGTGATTTTTGCCATACGTTGACAAGAATCAGCCATGGATTTACATTTCTTATTGACAGCTTTCTGTCACACATACCCTCTAGACTTAATTCTGTTTTAGGTATTCTCCTAGGCAGAGCAAGATCACACAGTATCAGTGTTATTCATCAAGTAATAACTGATTTTAACCTTTTATTATGGAAACTTACAAAATGTACAAAGTAGAAAGAACTACTTAATGATCAGAAAAATCTTTAAAAAAATCACTCTGTATTGGAAGTAGTGCCATCTTATGCAAAGGCAGTGAGGTATGAATAAATAAATTCTCTTGCTTGGAGATAATACTGAGTCTAAAAGCATGGCTTTTGGTCGATGGGGGGCCTGGGTCTGCCCAGCCCCTACATGGACAAAATCTCTGAGGCAGAACAACACTGACTAGAAGCGAGCACCTTGAATAGGAGGAATAAAGGATGGCGGAAATGTAGGTCAGTTTAAAGGTAGGGTGGCCAGATATTTTTAGCTGATGGTTTCTATTTTCTCTGTGAAGTAGAAGATGGTGTCATTTGCTGAGCGTGAGGAAGGAACTTGTGTAGTCAAAGGTTGAGAAGAGGCATGAAGAATTGAGATGACTGCTGTGGTCTATAATAGAGAAGCCTGGGGACCACCACAATATATCTGATTGCGGGACTGGGTATCTGTACTGTGAATATCACGCCATGAAAAGGGCTGAAATTGACAGAGTTGTGCTGCTGTGAAAGGATCTCCAGGCTTTATTGCTGAATTAAAAATTCCTGTGGCTCCAGACGTTCTTTGGTCAACATTTTATTCAAAGGGGAGATGAAGCTGATGCTAGATAATAAATGCCACAGTGCTGAGGAGCAATAAAAAGCTACCCAATCCATTTCTGTTGGGCAATAAAATAAACAGAGAAAAGTGATAAGACACAAATGTGGTGCTTAACAAATTACTGTAAAACGAATACCCAGATGGAGTCACAAAGTGTAACACCCTCCCTCATGTGCCTTTACCAGATAGCAATGCCTTCCTTTCTTTGTGAGTTTCACTGAACTCACTCCCTTACTTTTCTTTACAGTTTTAATTGTGCACACCTTAAGAATATGGTTTAATTTTACTTTTTTTGGAATGAAATATAGTACATGGAATCAGGGATAACATTCTTTCCTTGCATGTACCTGATGTATTCATTTCCATTTCTATGTAGTATCCCAGAGTATGATTATACTCCGATATATTTGTCTCTTCTTTCGTTCACAAGCATTTAGGTTGTTCCTAATGCTAGCCTAGAGGAGGCATGGCAACCCACTCTAGTAGTCTTGCCTGGAGCATCCCCATGGACAGGGGAGCCTGGTGGGGTCACAGAGTCGGACATGACTGAGAGCTTAAGCCCAGCACAGCACAGTGTTAGCCTGTGATGGACAGTGTTGCTGGTAACAGTTTTAAAAATTACTTATTTTTATTTTTGGTTGTGCTGGGTCTGCGTTGCTGCACATGGGCTTTCTTTAGTTGCACTGAGTGGGGCTTGTTCTTCGCTGCAGTGCATAGGCTTCTCATTGCGGTGTCTTCTCTTGTTGCAGACCACAGGCTTTATTTAGAGTGCAGACTCAGTAATTGTGGTGAAGAGGCTTAGCTGCCTCACGCCACATGGGATCTTCCCAGACCATGAACCCATGACCCTGTGTTGGCAGGTGGATTCTTAACCAGTGGACCACCAGGGAAGTCCTGGTAACGTTTTATACACATGTCCTGATGAATGTGAATGTTATGTTTATGGAGAAAAATCTAAATATAGGTGGAATTTCTGGGTCATTGAATGTGCTTATCCAGTTTGGTTAGATATTGCCAAATTTCTTCCCAGAGCAGCTCTATCAGTTTATACTCCCAGCAGCAGGGCATGCAAGTTCCCTTTGCACCGTTGCTCTATGTCCTTGCCAATACCTGGTATTTTCCAGCTTTAAAATTCTTGCCAGTTTGGTGACTGTGTAGTTTTCTCACTGTGCTTTCCATGGGCAATTCTGTTTATACATTTTCTGGCCATTTGGAGGTCCTCTTTGGGAAAGTAACATGTCTAGGACTTTTGCCAACTTTTCTCTTATGTTATACAGTTTCTTCTTACTGATAGTTCTTTGTACATCCTGGAAACAAGCCCTTAAGCTGATTACATGTATTGCAAATATCTTTGCCCCCTACTCTGTGGTTTGCCTTTTAACTCTCAATGGTATTTTTTGATAAACAGATCTTTTAAAAAGCTCTTTTATTCAAGTATGGTTGATTTACAATGTTGTGTTAGTTTCTGCTGTATAGCAAATTGATGGAGTTATACATATATATATATATATATATACACACACACTCTTTTTCATATTCTTTTCCATTACAGTTTATCACAGGATGTTGAATATAGTTCCCTGTGCTATACAGGGGGACCTTGTTTATCCATTCTACAGATGAGTTTGCATCTGCTAACCTCAAATTCCCAATCCATCCCTCCCCCACTCCTCACCCACTTTGCAACCGCAAGCCTGGTCTCTGTCTATTTCTGTTTTGTAGATAAGTTCATTTATGTCATATTTTAGATGTTGGATATGTTATATTATACAATATTTGTTCTCTCTCTGACTTACTTCACTTAGTATGATAATCTCTAGGTGTATATATGTTGCAGCAAATGGCATTATTTCATTCTTTTTTATGACTGTGTGATATTCCATTGTATATATATATATCACATCTTCTTTATCCATTTGTTTGTTGATGGACAACTAGACTGCTTCCATGTCTTGGCTATTTTAAGTAATCCTGCTGTGAACATGGGTTGCATGTGTCTTTTTGAATCATGCCCAGGAGTGGGATTGCTGGATTATATGATAACTCTATGTTTAGTTTTCTAAGGAAACTCCACTTCCGTTGTGGTTTAGCTGGTAAAGAATCTGCCTGTAATGCAGGAGACCTGGATTTGATCCCTGGTTTGGGAAGATCCCCTGGAGAAGGGAAAGGCTACCCACTCCAGTATTCTGGCCTGGAGAATTCCATGGACCTCAATTCCATGGGGTCACAAAGAATCGGACACAACTGAGCAACTTTCACTCACTCAAGGAAACTCCATACTGTTTTCCATATTGAATGTACCAATTTACATTGCCATCAATAGTGTAAGAGGGTTCTCTTTAACAGATCTTAATTTTAATGTTGTTCCATTTACCACTTTTCCTTAATTACTGCCTTTTATATCATATTTTTAAAATATTTTCCTATTCAAAGGTCATAAAGATATTCTCCTATATTACCATCTAGAACTTTTCATTTTTAAGTCAGTTATCCACCTAGGATTGACTTTTGTATACCATGTTTTGAGACTAGGATAATGCTAAATTTATCCATCAAGAAAATTATAGACCAATTTTACTTTTGAATATGGAAAATGACTCCTACTCTTTAGAGATCCACCCTACTCTCCATCTAGAGTATATGCCTGTCAGTTCATTCATTTATTCGTTCTTTGAAGAAGCATTTGTTGAGCTGTATGTGAACTGTATTCCAGACACTATCTAACAGTTCCTCATCCTCACCAGGCTCTCTACATCACCAGCCTAATGCAGAACTTTCCCCTCTCCTTGTAAAGTTTTCCTTTTCCTTTGTGGCTTGGTTAGCTCCTATCATCTGTCCAGTTCCTACTTTAAGCAACTCTTCCTCCAGGAAGCCCTGTCTGGAGAGCTAACCTTTCTGGTTAGCTTAAGTCTCCTCTTTCATTTGCTGTCGCGGCTGTTTTGTATTTGCTTGTGTGATTATCAAATTAATACGCCTCTCCCATTAGACTGTGTCTTTCCCACTGTAAGTTCTCAACATTAGCAGTGGTGACATTTGGGGCAGGCTAATTCTCTTTTTAAAAATATTTATTTATTTATTTGACTGTGTTGGGTCTTAGTTGCCACACAGGGGATCTAGTTCCCTGACCAGAGATTGAACCCAGGCCCCCTGCATTGAGAACACAGAGTCTTGGCTAATGGACCACAAGGGAAGTCCCTGGACCAGGGTAATTCTTTGCTGTGTTCTGTATATGCATGTGTGAGGGGTGGTCTGTGCATTTTAGGATGTTTTTTCTGAATCCCCTATCCCTACTCACTAGATGACAATAGCGTCCCTCAGATTGTGGCAGCCACAATGTCTCCAGACTTTGCCAAATGTTCCCTGGGGAGATATGAAATCTTCCTTCCATTGAGAGCCACTGCACTAGACTCTGTGTCTCTCCCATTAGATCGTAAGCTCCAGGAGGGCAAGAACCATTTCTGGTTTCTCCCAGCATCTAGAATAAGGTCTGGGGACTCCCTTGGTGGTCCAGTGGTTAAAAATCTGCATGCCAGTGCAGGGGACATGGGCTTGATCCCTGGTCCAGAAAGATGCCACATGCCACGGGGCAACTAAGCCCGTGGGCCACAACTAGTAAGCCTGCACACTTAGAGACCACATGCTGCAACAAGAGATGCAGCTGCAATCAAAAGCCTGCACACGCAGCAACGAAGACCCAGGGCAGCCAAAAGTAAATAATAAATAAATAGTGTCCGATACGTAGTGGATACTTGAAAAATATTTGTTGAAGCTACTCAGTAGCAGGGTCCATGATTTCAGAAGGAATCAAAATGAAGAATGAGCTGACATTCAAAAGAAGGGGCACTATTTAGGGACTAAAAGTCTCAGTCAAGTGCCAAAGCCAGGGTCATCAGGCTGAGCAAATGAGATGGTGGCATTGATGAAAACTTTGGGGATTGGAGGTGAATGGAGTCCTGGAGATGACGAGGTTTGGATGCTGGCCAGAGAAATGAGTTGTTGAAGTGGAAATGCCTGTCTGTTTTTGGGGCTAAGACACTGTACAAGGTGTCCCATGTCGGTTCCCCACACTGTCCTTGAAACTGCTTCCAGGCTGGGGGAAAGCCTAGAAAGAGGGCAAGACCACAAAGGAGCTGAAATTCTCGTTGGCTGTTTAACAGGGTTCTGGGGAGGGTTGGGGTGAGCAGAAGTTGGTATGGCTGATGGCATGGCTTTCCGGGGAAGAGGAAGGGGTTTCCCCTGAGGATGGAGTGTGGTGGTCTGCATGTGATTCAAGGGAGAGTAAGACGGATGCTGACATCCCCTGGCCGCCTGCCATCCCCAGGGGATGAGGAGCCCCCAGAGCATGGTGCTCAGGAGGTCCTCTCTCGGGGCCGCTGTCATAGGCCACGTCTATTTCCTGTTGATGTTCACCCAGCAACACTCGGAGGGTGGTTCCTGTGTCAACAGTCATTCACATCTCTGTCTCTCAACCTTGTTTTCTGGCAAATTGCCTTCTCAGCTACTTTACAACAAACAGCCTGGGCTCCGCCTCCCATCTGTCAGCTAGCATCACATTTCTCCCGTTTGATTTCTAAATACCAGTGCTGCTCACTTTCTGATAATTTTCATGCCTCCTTCCTCTCTTAGCTCATTAGAAACTTCCTGCATGTAGCAGGCTGTGCAGCTCTTTGTAGATTGAAATGGAGGTCAATGGATAATAAAGGCTGTCAGCCAAGGATAGGAATGTCACTCTCCAGCAAGACCCACTGATGGTTGTTGTTCAGAGACCAGAGAGTGAATCCACTTGAGCAGCATCATCCTTGGTCCGCTTATCTGAATGCACTGAAGCATTCATGTGCTCTCTCTAATTAACTCTGACACCATTACCAGGGGGCTTCCTAGGTGGCTCAGTGGTAAAGAATCCGCCTGCCAAGCAGGAGATGTGGGTTTGATCCCTGAGTCGGGAAGATCCCCTGGAGAAGGAAACAGCAACCCACTCCAGTATTCTCGCTTGGGAAATCCTATGGACAGAGGAGCCTGGTGGGCTACAGTCCATGGGGTCACAGAAGAGTCGGACACAACTTAGCAACTAATGAACATCAACAAACCATCACCAAGAGTGTGTCCAGTCAATACGGTTTGATTGAATCAAACCCTCTGTGTGTTATTCCCTGAGAGCGTCAGACTTTAGTGCCATGTGCTTCCGGAGAAACCCCTGTTTGCCTTGCAACAAATCAGAAGGTTGAGGAACAAGACATTCACCAGGGTCAGAATCCCTAAATGCCCTTTCAGGGATGGGGGAGGGAAGAGATATGTTTTAAGTTTTTAAAATTTTAAGGTGTTCATTTATTTACTTCTATGGGCTTCCCGGCCTGGCGTGCTGTGATTCATGGGGTCGCAGAGTCGGACACAACTGAGCGACTGAACTGAACTGACCTGATGGGCTTACCTGGTGGCTCAGTCGGTAAAGAATCTGCCTGCAATGCGGGAGACCTGGGTTGGGGTTGGGAACATCCCCTGGAGGAGGGCATGGCAATCCACTCAACTATTCTTGCCTGGAGAATCCCCATGGACAGAGGAGCCTGGCGGGGTGCAGCCCATGGGGTCACAAAGAGTAGGACACAACTGAACGACTAAGCACATACATATTTATTTCTAGAGTTCAATTTTTTGGCCAGTATTTTATTATGAAAAGACTTTCAAGCATACATTAATGTTGAAATAATTTTACACTGTACACCCTTATAGTCTTGAATACCCAGGTTCTACTATTAACAATTTGTCATTCTTTTTTTAAATTTTTTAATTTCACTGCATTGGGTCTTCGTTGTGGCAGGCAGGATCTTTAGTTGTAGCATGCAAACCCTTAACTGTGACATGTGGGACCTAGTTCCCAGACCAGGGGTCGAACCCAGGTCCACTGCATTGGGAGCACAGAATATTAGCCACTGGAGCACCAGGGAAGTCTCAGTTCATCATTCTTAAATTAAATCTGGTCATCTAGTTTCTCCTAGTCTCCCCTCCAAGCTTCTTCTGCCTTCACATCTGACCTTGGGATGGATGGTTGGCCATTTGTCAGTTTATGTTTGGGTACCCATTCGTCTCTTCCCTGGGTTAGACTAGGAAGCATTCAGGTGGCAGCAGCCTGGAAGAGGGGCTGCAAACATTTTTGTGAATATAATCAGTACTCTGTCCTTTTCCATCTGAGGTCTAGGATCTCATGGGGGAAAAGTTTTTGGTTTGAGGTTCTTTTGTCCGGACACGGCATCCTCTGAACCCAAGTCTGGGAGTACAGTGAGGAGATTGGGAAAGAACATGCCATCCCCCAAGAAAAGTATAACCCAAATAATGGTTCTCATCACTGTGAGCCAGCCCCTGGGGTGCCCCATATGGCAAGGACACCCAGCCAGGGACCACCCATCTGGACCATGCGGACCCATCTGGAGCCGCTCACTCAGTGCTGCCCTGGTCTTCTCTCTGCTGTCTCTGGAATGTGCACATTTTGCTTTTAGGATTCTCTGTTCCTGGTAACCTGGTTAACAGTTTACAGTAGAACAATTTTCCCAAAATTTAGAGCAAGGACAAATGGAGATTCTTGAGATTATTTTATGCATTAGATTTGGAGCCCATGACACTGAATCATCTAGTGAGGCTATTGCCTCCTCCACTGTCTACAGTGAGCCCAAGGGTAATGTCTCATGTTGGTGTTAGTGTGCTTTTAACATCTGCCCAACACTTTGCTGATGACTTTTTTTTTTAGAGAAAGAATGAATAGGATCTGGGCCCAGGTTTTTTGGTGTGCAAGAGAAAGCCGCCAGAAATGAATAGAACATAAATGAATTATTTTATTATCAATGTGTGTATTTTTGCTGGTTTCCTTAGGTTTAGGATTGATTTTTCCACTTCACAGTAGTGATTTGCATTGTTATTTATAGATGTGAGTGTTTTGTTTGTGTGTGTGTGTGTGTGTGTGTGTTCAGTTGTTTCTAATTCCTTGCGACCCTGTGGACTGTAGCTCACCAGGCTCCTCTGTCCATGGGATTCTCTAGGCAAGAATGAAGAATACTGGAGTGGGTTGCCATTTCCTTCTCTTTTTAGATGTTTATTTAAATGTAAACATGATAAAGCAATTATCCTTCAATTAAAAAAATAAATATAAAAAAATAAACATGAGTTGGTTTAAAGAAAAACATTGTTTTATAGTAACATTTATTCTATTAATAAGTTTTATAAAATAACATTAATAACACAGATGGCAAAAATTGGGATAGGATATACATTTGGCATGTATGATAGTTAAGTACATAGTGAAGTTGTTCAGTCATGTCTGACTCTTTGCGACCCCATGGACTGTAGCCTACCAGGCTCCTCCGTCCATGGGATTTTCCAGGCAAGGGTACTGGAGTGGGTTGCTATTTCCTTCTCCAGGGGATCTTCCCGACACAGGAATCGAACCCAAGTTTCCCACATTGCAGGCAGACGCTTTACCCTCTGAGCCACCAGGGAAGCCCCAGTTAAGTACATAGCTCTTCACAGAACCCCAATTCATCTTCACCCCACCCTTTGGTCCCCATTTTCTCCTCCCTCTTAAGTCTCCCACTAAGAATCCCAGGAAGACCATCTGCGCTTCTAAGTTTGGGGAGGAGGGGGGAGAAGGGCTGCTGGGAGGCAAAAGCTCAGCTCTGGTCCCCAGGTCACCACGATGCCAGAATACCTGCGGAAACGGTTTGGTGGCAACAGGATTCCCATCATCCTGGCTGTGCTCTACCTGTTTATCTACATCTTCACCAAGATCTCGGTAAGATGGGGATGCAAGAGGTGAGAAGCCTTTACAGAGCATTGCTGGTGGTGTCCGCTTCCCATCCACGGTCTTCTCTTACTGAGGAAGCTTCTGGGAGGTTCTAGGAAGATGGGAGGGGTGGGGGCAAAGGGCAAGCAGAGGTGGAGGAAGTATGGGAGAAAGGTGGAGAGGACTCCTCCGCGGTCTCCTGCCAAAGCTTCTTCAGCAACATCTCAGGATGGCACCCGACACTGAATGGGACTCCGAGAGCCCTGGGGTGAGTCTGTCGTTTTCCTCCTGGGATCAGGCAGTTATAAGCTATGAGTCATATGTGCTGACAGCCATTCAGCCTACCCCACCCTGACCTTTGGACGGGCAGATCTCCTGGAAAGTGGCCAAGAGCAGATGCTTGGCAACCTCCAGGAGGTGTGGCTCGGCCTGACTCACAAGGATGCCATCTTCTCTTCAATCTGGAACTGGGGAAGACCTTGTCCAATGTGAGGTGGCATAGGGCGGGGTATAGGAATTCCATTCAATTCAAACAACAATAACTGACTCTGCCAGCTCCAGATGTGAAAGAAAGACTTAGAAGGACAACACTTGCTGTCATCCTGGTGGGAATCTACAGACGCGGGGAAGCCTTCCCAAGGGAAGTTATGTGTGAGAAAGATGCTGAGAAGATATAGAGACAGAGGAATTGGCATTCCAGATGGATGGACAGAACAAGCAAGTTTGACTTGTTAGGGAAACAGGGTGTATTTCAGCATGCCTGGAGGACCGGGAGCATGAAGTGAGGAAAGGAAATGAAATCAAGTGGCAGGCAAACTGTGAAGCACCTGACATAGAGCTCTAACTTACTCTAACTTATTTGGACATTATCTGAGGGGCTCTTGAGAGTCCCTTGGACAGAAGGAGACTCAAACTAGTCAGTCCTCAAGGAATATACATTGGGAGGACTGATGCTGAAGCTGAAGCTTCAATACTTTGGCCACCTGATGCAAAGAGTCAATTCACTGGGAAAGACCTTGATGTTGGGAAAGATTGAGGGCAGGAGGAGAAGTGGGCAACAGAGGATGAGATAGTTGGATGGCATCACCGACTCATTGGACATGAGTTTGAGCAAACTCTGGAAGATAGTGAAGGACAGGGAAGCCTGGTGTGCTGCAAGTTCATGGGGTCGCAAAGAGTTGGACACAACTTAGCAATTGAACAACAATCTTGGGGCAAGTAGGGAGCCACTGAAGAGTTTTGATGAGGAGGAGAGGATGAGATGATCATGATGGTATTTGATAAGGCTGCAGTGTAGAGGATGGAGTGTAGGTAGATCAAGAAGAGAAGCAGGAAGACCACCAAGGGGCTTGTATTAGCCTAGTGAAGGGATCTCAAACATAACCACCCATAGGGCTCCCATTTGAGACCCTTGATCTGGGAAGAGATGGGTGAAGAAAGGACAACATATGACGTTTCTGTGTTTCTCAGAATCAAGGCTAGGGCCTGAACCTGGGGAAACTGTGCTGAGATGTCCATTCATTCATATACCCATCAACTCCTCTCTAGGTTGACATGTACGCAGGCGCCATCTTCATTCAGCAGTCTTTACATGTGAATCTCTACTTGGCCGTAGTCGGGTTGCTGGCCGTCACAGCTCTATACACCATTGCAGGTACGACTGGAAAAGGGGTGATACTAGGAGAAGTGATGGGCAGGGGCTGTGGTCCACCCCATCTTTTCCTGGCCCGTCTTCTGATGTTCCAGTGTGCTAAGACCTTGTCTTCATGAACTCTCAATCTATTGCCCTGGAAGATATGATTTCTCTTGGCCATTGTCCAAAGGAAAAAGATTGTCTGATGGAAGGGAGGATTTCAAAATGTGCCATACCTGCATGAAGCTATTTTCTATTTATTTCTTTATGAACTTTTCCTTAGAACCTACTAAATGCTGAGCAGGTGGATTCACAAGCACTGTGCCCAGCTGGGCCACAAACCACTGCAGTTTTGGAGCCTGAGGCTTGTCTTTTCTCCTAAGACTTGCATCCTAGAAGAGTGGCTGGTGGGGAGCAGGGCCTTGATATGTATCTGCTTTTTCTTTTTTATAATATTTACTTATCTGACCATGCTGGGTGTTCGCTGTTGCCCACGGGCTTTCTCTAGCTGTGGTTACTGTCCAGTTTCGGTGCGTGAGCTTCTCATTGTGGTGGCTTCTCTCTCTTGTGGAGCAAAGTCTCTAAGGTGAGAGGGCTTCGGTAGCTGTGGCACACGGGCTGTTGCTCTGCAACATGTGGGATCTTCCTGGACCAGGGATCGAACCCGTGTTCTCTGTAATGGCAGGCGGATTCTTATCCACTGGGCCACCAGGGAAGTCCTAGACTGGGCTTCTTAAAGAAGCATAGTGGTCTTGGGACAACACAAGAGCAGAGCGGGGGCTGCAGGGACCCCTTGTGGCCCAGGCCTGAAGCTCCGTAATATCCCGCTCCACCATGTCTGTTGGTTAAAGCAAGCCAGTTGGCCAAGCCACATTTACGAGGAAGAGAAATTAACTTCACCTCAATATGAAAGGCGCAGCAAAGCCACATGACGAATGGGCAGGCACATGAGAAATGGATAGTGTTGTGGCCATCTTTGCAAAGAGTCAACAATTCAAGACCCATCAGGTCTTGAATTTCAAAATTTCCTCTGCCAACACCCAGAACAACTCCTCTCCATCAGAGTACTGACCTTCACCTCCGTGCTCATCTCCTCTCCAGGTGGCCTGGCAGCTGTCATCTACACGGACGCTCTGCAGACTCTGATCATGCTTATAGGAGCGCTCATCTTGATGGGCTACAGTAAGTGGGGTCCCAGGGTCATTTGGGTGGATAACAGCACCTCTCTCAAGAAGGGACATCTGCTTTCTTCACTGTTTCAAACCCAGCTGGGGATTCCTGCTAGAAGCCTGGTTATTTTAGCTGGAAGAGAACTGTGTTTCTCATGGAAACTTAAGTGTTTTATAAGGGAAAATTAATAGTTCTTCTGACACTGGTGTGGATAAATAACTAAATAACAAAATAAAAGGAAGTAAAGGAATCATTCTCCCTTATAGGAAAATTCCAATTAATAAATGCAGGTGGGGTGAGGGAAATAGAATAACACCATTAGAACACCATAGTAATAACTGCTATTGGCAGGCGGATTCTTATCCACTGGGCCACCAGGGAAGTCCTAGACTGGGCTTCTTAAAGAAGCATAGTGGTCTTGGGACAACACAAGAGCAGAGCGGGGGCTGCAGGGACCCCTTGTGGCCCAGGCCTGAAGCTCCGTAATATCCCGCTCCACCATGTCTGTTGGTTAAAGCAAGCCAGTTGGCCAAGCCACATTTACGAGGAAGAGAAATTAACTTCACCTCAATATGAAAGGCGCAGCAAAGCCACATGACGAATGGGCAGGCACATGAGAAATGGATAGTGTTGTGGCCATCTTTGCAAAGAGTCAACAATTCAAGTCCCATCAGGTCTTGAATTTCAAAATTTCCTCTGCCAACACCCAGAACAACTCCTCTCCATCAGAGTACCGACCTTCACCTCCGTGCTCATCTCCTCTCCAGGTGGCCTGGCAGCTGTCATCTACACGGACGCTCTGCAGACTCTGATCATGCTTATAGGAGCGCTCATCTTGATGGGCTACAGTAAGTGGGGTCCCAGGGTCATTTGGGTGGATGACAGCACCTCTCTCAAGAAGGGACATCTGCTTTCTTCACTGTTTCAAACCCAGCTGGGGATTCCTGCTTGAAGCCCTGGTTATTTTAGCTGGAAGAGAACAGTGCTTCTCATGGAAACTTAAGTGTTTCGTAAGGGAAAATTAATAGATCTTCTGACACTGGTGTGGATAAATAACTAAATAACAAAATAAAAGGAAGTAAAGGAATCATTCTCCCTTATAGGAAAATTCCAATTAATAAATGCAGGTGGGGTGAGGGAAATAGAATAACACCATTAGAACACCATAGTAAGAACTGCTACAGGCAAAAGCCAATGATAAATGCTGAAGTTAGCAAGTGAAAGTTTATGAAGAAATAGCATATTTGCCTGGTCTTGAAGCATCACATCCAAAATATTTATTAATTACAAGGGGACATACATCCACTTTACAGTGGAGAAACATGGCACCACTGTACTGAATGATCAGGATATAGTAATTGATAACACAATAATCAGACGTACCCATATGCAGCTCCTGATATGGTCGCTGAGAAGGACACAGAATCACCTCTGTGCCATTCTTGCTGCAATATATACCCTCAACTTCATCGTTTATAAACATCAGACAAATTGAGGGAAATTTTACAAACTACAATGACCAGTATTCTTCAAAAGTATCAGGGACATGAAAAATAAAAACAGACGGAGGAACTACAAAGAGAGGAGGAGAATAAAGAGATACAACAAATAAACACAATATAGGATCCTGAACTGACTTCCAGAAGAGTGAAAGAACATGAGTGGTGCAATCGGAACAGCTTCTACTGTAGTTAATGGTAATTAATGCACCAGTATTAATTTCTTAGTTTCTGTAATACTAGGTAAAGGGTGTATGGAAACTCTCTGTGCTACTTAATACAACTCTTCTGTATGTCTACAACTATCTCAAAATTAAAAGTTCAAAAATTAATAAGTGTTAAAACCCTTGTGATCCAGATGTGCTATCATTTAATGCTCACAGCAACCCAATGGTATTGGTACCACTGTTATTCCCTTTGTTGGATGAGAAAATTAGGGCACCAACTGTTAGAAAGGTTGCCCAATGTCACAAAGCTAGAATTCAAAGCCAGGATTCAAGCCCCAGTCAGACTGACCTCAGATGTCACCCTCTTCCTTCCCCATCACACTGCCTGGTGATACGAGTAGGGAGATAATGTGGTAATAACTTTATTGGGAAGAGTCTAGGAGCAGGAGTCAAAGAATATAGGCAAGAATTTTTACCTTAACTTTGTGTCTTTCTGCAGAATATTGTGCATGCGTTACTTTTACCTTTCAAACAAAATTTTTACCTTAACTTTGTGTCTTTCTGCAGAATATTGTGCATGCGTTACTTTTACCTTTCAAACAAAATTTTTAAAAAATCGTGGAATAATAAATTAGTTTCACACACACACACAAAAAATAGCAATAAGACTTGCTTATTATAAACTTTAACAGAAAATGTTCTGGACCCTTACAAAGAAGAAAAACCTCACTGGTTTATATAAAGAAGAAAACAAATGAGTAATAAATATATAAAGACACATGTTCAGCCTCACTAGATAAATGTTGGGTGTGGTTGCTATCATAACATTTTGAAACTCCCAGTGCCAAATAAGTGACTCGTAACACTCTCAGGTTTTGGAGGCAAAAGAGCCAAAAGATAGACCTTCACACGGTTTGTTATTTAGCCAAACTTCCTGATCTTTCTTTCTAAAATATGGGGTCTCAATGAGGAAATTCCACTACATAATTTATTATGATCAGTCAGGAGAGAGATTACCGATCCACCTTCAGCAGCCTTCCTCATTCTGCTATATCTAGCAGAGTTTCTCTTACGGTATCTGCAGGTTTTTAAATGTGGAAAACGGATTGACAATATATGCATGATTTTCTTTCTTTTTTTAAATCATAAAGCTTATTTTGTTTTTTAGAATTAATCTTTATTGGAATAAGTTGATTGACCATGCTGTGTGAGTTTCTGCCGTATGGCAAAATCAATCAGTCATGTATATATATATGTATATCTTCTCTTTTTAAGACTCTTCTCCCATGTAAGTTATTATAGAGCATTTAGGAGAGTTGCCTGTGCTATTCAGCAGGTTCTTTTTAGTTATCTATTTAATATATAGTAATGTGTATATGTCAGTTCCAATCTCCTTGTTTATCATGGTTTTATTTCTGTGCCTTTAAAACTTATTTACTTACTGGTTGTGCTGGGTCTTCACTGCTGTGTCGGCTTTTCTGTAGTTTCGGCGAGGGGGGCTACTTTCTAGCTGTGGTGTGCTGGCTTCTCACTGCAGTGGTTTCTCTTGTTGCTGAGCATAGGCCCTAGGGTGCACAGGCTTCAGCAGTTGTGGTTCCCTGCTCTAGAACACAGCCTCAATAGTTGTGGTGCGCAGGCTTCGTTGCCCTGTGGCATGTGGAATCTTTCCAGACCAGGAATCTAACTCATGTCTCCTGCATTGGCAGGTGAATTCTTTACCACTGGGTCACCAGGAAAGTCCTGTTTTTGTGCTCTGAATTCTGTTCCATTGGTCTATAGGACTGCTTTTCCCTAATATTGTACTGTTTTGATTACTACAGCTTTGTAATATAGTTTGACATCAGGAACCGTGATGCTTCCAGCTTTGACCTTTCTCAAGGTTGCTTTGGTTATTTAGGATCTTTAGTGGTTCCATGTAAATGCTAGGATTGTTTTTTGCTTTCCTGTTCTTCTATTTCTGTGAAAAATGCCATTGAAATTTAGATAGGGATCTCATTACATCTGTGGATCACATTGAGTACGTTTTAACAATCTTGATCTTCCAGTCCATTAACATGGAATATCTGTCCATTTATTGTGTCTTCTTCAATTTCGTTTATCACTCTTATTTATAGTTTTCAGTGTATAGATCTTTTCACCTCCTTGGTTAAACTGATTCCTATTTTATTCTTTTAGACGCAATTAGAAATGATATTCTTTTCTTTTCATGGAAGTATAGTCAATTTATAGTAATGTATTAGTTTGAGGTGTAAATATATATATGTGTGTATATATATTCAGATTCTTTTCCATTATAGATTATAAATTATTTAATACAGTGCCCTGTGCTATACAGTAAATCCATGTTGTTTATTTTATATGTAGTAATGTGTATTGGTACCATTTTCTGAATATCTCTTTCCAATAGTATTTGCTTATGTGCTTAGTCACTTAGTTGTGTCCAACATTTTGCAACCCCATGGTCTGTAGCCCACCAGGCTCCTCCCTTCCATAGGGATTCTCCAGGCAAGAATATTGGAGTGGGTGGCCATGCCTTTCTCCAAGGGATCTTCCCAACCCAGGGTTCAAACCCAGGTCTCCCTCATTGCAGGAGTATAGTATATAGAAACACAATTGATTATTGCATATTGATTTTGCATTCTGAAGCTTTACTAAATTAATTCATTTATTAGTTTTAACTGTTTTTGGTGGAATCTTTAGGGTTTTTTATATATAATACCATATTATCAGCAAACAGGGACAACTTATTTTCAAATATTGGAGATTTTTCTGATATATTTCTGTTATTAATTTTTAGTTTAATTCCATTACAATAGTAGAATATATTTTGTATGATTTTATTTCTTATGAACTTATCGAGGTTTGTTTTATGGCCAGAAACATTGCCTATTTTAATGAACCTTCCAAGAGTACTTGAGAAGAATATGTATTCTGCTATTGTTGGGTGTAGTGCTTTATAAATTTCAATTGGGTCAACTCGGTTGATAGTGTTGTATAAATCTTCTTTATCTGTATAAATATTTTTGTCTACTTTTTCCATCAACCACTAAAAAAGGGGTATTGAGGTCTCCAACTATAATGGTTGACTTCTTTCTCTTTTTAGGATTGTTATGAGCTTTTGGTGAGTTGACCCCCTTATAATTATGTGATGTTCCTCTTTATCCTTGGCCGTTTTCTTTGTTCTGGAGTCTAATTTGTCTAATATTAATATAGTCTGTCTAGCTTTCTCTTGACTTGGATGGCATATATTCAAGGTCCAATTACTGATAATTGGACCACAAATAACTATCCTTTCCTCCCACTGCCACAAAACAATTTTTCAGGGAAAAAAGCATGACAAAAATTTATCATAAAAAATATTTTTCCCCCAGTAGTCACTGTTTACCACACTCTTCCACAAAAATAAGCCAGGCTGCAGTATTTACATATCATTCTTACCCAAATGGTAACACCAACCATACCAAGAAACAAACAAACAAAAAATAACCAGGAAAAAAAATGAAACAAAAAAGACAAACACAACCTTCCAGAACATAATCCAGTGAGAGCAGTGTTATTTTGGGGATAACCTTGAATCCTTTAAATTAATGTGAAGAAGCAAATTATCTGCAAACTACAGTGCTTTATTATTTTTTAAGGACAACTCATGTTTGTGCCAGATGCTGTGCATTCTATGGGCAGCATCTCACTTCGTCCTTGCTCCAGTGCTGTGAGGCTGGCACTATATTATTCCCACTCGCAGATGCAAAACTGAATCTCAGATGGAGAAATAACTTTCTCAAGGCCATAGGTTACTTGGACCACTCTTGAAATACCATAAATTGAGATAGCTGAGAAGAAGTTTAGAGGTAAAAGTATGTTTCCTTAAGGCAGAGTTTCTTAACTTGGGGTCCATGGAGAGAATTTACAGGTTTTGTGAACCTTGGATGGGAAAGAAATCCATCTCTGTTTTCACAAATCTATCAGTGACATTTAGCATCTTTCAGTTATTAGTATAGGCAGCTCACCACAGGAATATTAGCAATATCTGTGACTTTGAAACCAAAATATAACCCTGATGTTTTTATCCAAATGTTTTTATAATTGCTGCTGATGTATTGAAACATTGTTTGTTCCCTGGTTGCTTTAAAACTAGATTGTTATTTGACCCACTATGGAGTCTTTCTATTTAATGGTGCAAATAAATAAATTACTATGTCTGAGTTCTCATCATTTGATGAGTGCCTTCAATGTATTTGGTTTCCTTTATAATCTGTGTATTTTGTATTAAGAGGAAATGGCAACCCACTCCAACATTCTCGTCTGGGAAATCCCATGGACAGAGGAGCCTGGTGGACTATATAGCCCAGGGGGTTGCGAGAGTCAGACACGACTTAGTGACTAAATGACCATTTTGCATTATAAATTTAGAAATATTATTCTAAGAAGCAACCCATAGTCACTACCAAAGGCATTAAAGAATTCTTTTTTTTTTAAATAGGAGGCTAAGAACCTCTAAGTCAATTAACTTTCATGTGGTTCTAAGTAGGATTTCACCAATCTCCAACCATCCCCTCATGAGCTTCTGTGGATCAAGCTGAGTTCCTGGCAAATTTGGGCTTCCTCTGAATTCTAGGTTTCGCTGCAGTTGGTGGGCTGGAAGGCCTGGAGGAGAAATATTTCTTGGCCATGGCTAGTAACCGGAGTGGGAACAGCAGCTGCGGGCTGCCCCGGGAAGATGCTTTCCATATTTTCCGAGACCCAGTGACGTCTGATCTCCCGTGGCCCGGGATCCTATTTGGAATGTCCATCCCGTCGCTCTGGTATTGGTGCACGGATCAGGTACAGGGCAGCAGGCTGAGCCAGCCGCCCCCAGAATGCTTCCTTCCCTGGGGTGTCTGGAAGCTGGGTTTTTGTCCTTCCCCATCTGTTCTCTTATCTCTCTACTAGTCTACACCTTATCTTCTTACTCTTGCTCATATGGCAAATCTGAAGCTGCTGCTTTTTGCAAAGGGAAAACTTGATACATCCTGCTGAATGTCTGGAAAGATCCAGTAAGCAAAAGTGGTGATATATTTTAAATGGAGGTTTTAACTGACACTGGTATTACCTGCTCCGCAAATCCTGGGTGTCTTCTCTGTACCAGCTGCTTAGAAATCACAAGTAAACAAGGACACTCGGTCCTTATAGAGCTCACTTTCTTCTGATGGAAGTAGACAGGCAGTAAATAAGTAAATGGAACATTACAAGGTGATAACTGTCATTAAAAAATAAAAAAGGAGGTTGAGAATGTGAGAGTGATGTTCAAAATAGGGTGGTCAGGGGAATCATGGTTGAGAAGTGACCTTTGGGCAAAGGAGGACAGCAAGTTCTGGTGATTGTCAGGGAAGAGATTCGGGGCAGAGGGACCCACCAAAGCCGATCCCTTAAAGCAAATATATAACTGCTGTAAAAAAAAAAAAAAAAAAGAAATTAGAAAGGCAAAAAACACTGCTATGGGTAAAATAAGCCTTTTGTGTTAAAAGGTGAGGTGGGGATAGACTCCGTAATTTGCATTTGCTTGTGTTTGCTGAAGAGCTTCCCAGGTGGCGCTAGTGGTAAAGAACCCACCTGCCAATGCAGGGACGTAAGAGATGCTGGTTCGATCCCTGGGTTGGGAAGATCCCTGGAGGAGGACATGGCAACCCTCACTAGTATTCGTGCCTGGAGAATTCCATGGACAGAGGAGCCTGGTGGGCTACAGAGCCACCAGGATTGCAGAGAGCTAGACACGACTGAGCGACTGAATGAGCAGGGACACACACATGAGTGTGCTGAAGGAAACTCCAGATGGATCACCTAAAACCGAGGGCGATTACTTCCTGGGGTAGGTGTGCCAGGAAGGACGGGAGCCATTTCACTGCACACCTGTTTGTACTTTCTCAGATTTCAAGCCCTGTGAATACGTCATCTGTTGAAATCGGTTTTTCCATTACATTAAAGATCAGCGATTTGTGTGCCATTTTGGAAGCTGTATTTCATATTCAGAGCTGATGAGACTTTAGCTAAAATAATGATCATGGAGTCAGACCACTGAATTGATGCAGGAGGCACTGCAGAGAGTGAACCTTGGTCACCCCATGGATGAGAATTCCTCTGAGTGAAGAGCTAAAACCCAAGGCAGAGATGGGTGCAATATTGCCCCTTTAGAAAATCACTCTCCCCTCCTGCCCTCCTCCCCTGATCTTTTCCTTAGCAAATATTGGGCTGGAGAGTGCCTGGGAGACAGTTCAGATGGAGGCTAAGAGCCTTGGCTTTTTCAACCTTTATAGGCTTGGACTCAAGCTCAGGTGGCATAACTTTGTTTAATAGCTTCAGCCTCTGTTTTCTCATGAGTGGGATTACTAGTAATCGCAAAAGAGAGAACATTGGAAATTTGCTCATAGTCCTTTCCGTTGCAGGGGCATTTAATAAACCATTAAAATCATTTACATTTTTCCTATGGTTTTATGCTACTGCTCTTGACACGGGTCACCAGCTTATATTTATTAATCGATATGAATATTTCCTTGAGATGCCTCAGACCCTTGCTGGCTGGGATTTCAGTGTACATCCCTTGAAGCCCACCTTCAACCCACCTTGTATTGTTCAAGAGCCTGGGGACTTAATCCACGATGACTCGATCATCTTCCAGATGCGAGGGAGGGCAAGAGAGCCCAGAAAACCAAGCCTTCTTTGGAGCCCACTGCGTTCGGTCTTGTTGCTGCTGAACTGGATTCTGTGGAGCCCAAAGGCTGTGTTATGTGTTAGTTCATCATGCTGGTGCTGCCCTAGGAGATGCACATTTTTTGTCAGCTCCCTGTGTAGCTCACTTTAGAGCAGAAGAAAGTCCAAGTGGCATGCATGGTGTACTGATTGAGAGCGTGTTTTAGATCTTTCTGTGCAGAGACAGAAGGGCAGATCACAGTCAATAAAGTAATGACACTTAAACCTTTATTGATAACTGCACCATTTACCAGTAACTGATTGAAGCATTTCCTATGTATTAACTCATTCATTTTCATAACATTTCTATGAGCTCTGCTCCATTACTTGGGTCTGGGGGTTGTCATGCAGAGCCACACACTCTTCACAGGGCTTGTGGGGTTTTGCGCAGCACAACTCTCTTAAAACTCAGCTGCCTCTTAAATTCACCTCTGGAGTCTCCACTTCATGGGAATAAAAGCCAACACTCCTTTCAGTCACAGCTTTGAACCTGCCATCTCAAGGGCTAGGCTTTCCAAAGCTATAAACTCTCCCATCTGCTTCCAGACGGACTGACAAGGATTGAAGGTTGAATGCCTCTCCTCGCACCTTTGAGCTACTGTGTTCAGTTGCTCCATCGTGTCCGACTCTTTGTGACCCCGGGGACCATAGCCACCAGGCTCCTCTGTCCATGGAATTCTCCAGGTAAGAATACTGGAGTGGGTTGCCATTTCCTTCACCAGGGGATCTTCCCAACTCAGGGATTCAACCTGAATCTCCTGTGCCTCCTGCATTGTAGACGGATTCTTATCGCTGAGCTACTGGGGATGCCCCTTCGGCATCTTAATGAAACCATTTTTTAAAAAGTATTCTATAAGTGCTATATTGTTACATGAAACTACCACATTCTTAAGTATTCTAGAAAGCCCAATGGGTGTATGTTTGGAGTTATGAGAAATGATAGGTAATAGTTAAATCAGCTTCTAGACAAGGACAGCTAAGTCCCCAGCTCTGGATAGAGGGAGCCTCACTGTTCCCCCACCCTTCCTCAAATAAGCTGATCCCATGTTTTAGACTCGTTCACTGACAGCATCCAAACAAATAATCATCATCCATGCAGGTGAGGAAACACTTGGTTGCAGTCCCAGGGGAAAAAAAAAAAA